AGTGGTAGAGCCGAGACGATAGCCTTACCGGTATCGTTGAAGTTGACTTCTCACGACGGTCAAGAGGTTCTACCGATTCGTCTAGCATGGACAATGAAGGAACTCCTAAAAATAAAACCCATGAACCCTTCTGTCTGTAACTGGACTGCTGTGTGGAGTCTCCTCAAGATTCTAGTACTGTAAATACAAGCTTGTCCCGGAGATCAAAGCAAAATTTCCCCAAGTAAAGGTGCCAGTTAGTGATCGTAACTGCTTACGCTCTAGCTGGTGGCTTAATGGCGATCAGACGAGGAACCCAATGACGTATGGAATGACCTCACACCCCTTTGGTGCGACTTTATCGCCTTCGTGTTGCAGTCTGGCGCTGCGAAAACCTCTTCAGTGCGACATGGCAAACCACTGCACCGATTCCTTCCTTCCTGAATTTTCCCGGTTTGTCGCAAAACGAGGATGCCCTAATGTGGCCTACAGTGAGGACAGAACGAATTTTCGAGGTGCTGAAACATACCTGAAGCGAAGCCTGGAACCACGATAAAATTTCCGATTCGCTTAGCAACAGAAATGGCATCTCACTTTACCTAAGGTGAATCATCGAAGGGGTATATGGGAACGTATGATACGATCTATCCGCCGCATACTACTTTCCCTCTCGGTTGACCATTTGGATGTGGACAAAGTGTTGGTGACGCTGTTTTGCGAAGTGGAAAGGATAGTCAATGACCGCCCTCTAGCGAGAAAATTCTTTGTACGAAATAACACAAGTGTTGCAGCGCCATGGTGCAAGAGACTGGACTGCTTCTGGCTCCGCCGCAAGTCATGTGACTCCTTCAGTCCTGTCCTGTACCGCCAACGATGTTCACCGATTTATCTTCAGGATTGTGGTTGGTGACATTCCCCGACCCCGGGGGCAAGTTAATTAGACGTTTCTTTTCCCGTTGCCATTAGACTACTCATGAGTAGCATTCAGCATTTATTTTCCGAACAGTTAGACTCGTTTTGTGCATCTATAGTCATGAAATTCATATGTTCAGATTACGCATTTACCGGTTTTTTAATGCTGTGATTACGATATGTTTATTCATAAGGTTGAATTTTCCGATTGGCATAAAAATTTTCTGAAGGCTTGTTCTGCGAGTAAAAGCCTGTCGCCACCACAGACCACCACATTGACACACGCTAACCCCACACCACACACGCCGGCAAAACATTACCAAAATCACGAAAATTTTCCTGAAGCTATCACGAGTTTGCAACAACCTTTTTCCTGACATCAAAAAGAACTCAGGCTTGGAAATCGTCATAAATTATTGTCCATACCTAAAGCACTAATACAGGTGATAAATATAATGAAACTCCATTTGATCGTAAAGAAAATATTTTAGTGCATCACAAACGGCCAGTACTATAATTTTATTTTCGCACCGCAAAACGATTTCGTATGCTTCCAGCTACTAATGGAACACTGCCTGCGGGGAAATTATCTGTTCTTAACCAGCGATAACCAAACAAACTCCACTACACGAAATAAAACGAAGTTTTGTCGGAAAATGAAGAAATTAGTGCACATAAATGTTTCACTTCTTGGTAGCAGTTATTCACTCGTATCTTCATTGATATTTTTGAATAAATTTACTGATCATTTTTGTGCCCTGATCCCGGGTGAAATCCAGGAAGGAACTCGTGTTCATAGGCGGCGAAAAATTCGAAATGACAGAAAAAATAAAGGGTTACGGTTTATATGAAAATGGAAATTACGCTTTACAAATGCAGAGGCGAAGGTACACTAGCAGCACATCGGAGCGTTGTTCCGCATCAAAATCAATCTCACTTATCGCGTTTTTCTTCTATGTACATTGGTACTGAATCTAAAGTGATGTCAAGTCACAAGATTTCGTACGTGACAAAACTAAACCCCCAATTTGTTTTAATCTCACAGAGATTTCTACACCACCACGTGTTCTTTTCGTTGTGTCCGCATATCACATGGTGACGACGATCATACTTAGCGATGCAAGCAAGCACAGTATTAATCGGAAAACGCATACTTTCTGAGCGGCGGAATGCCCGACTTTATATCCGGATGGATTGGCGTTAAAGATGGATTGCATGGATGACCTCAATGTGATAATGCAAGGTGAAATTATTGTTTGTTTTCAAATAAATTTTGTCGTAATTCTTATTCAGAGAGCCGTTCCATTAGTATTCCCACGCGGAATGAGATACTACTCTCCATGTCTTACATTCAAACGAATTTGAATTCATCCGATCCTGGTTCGAGTCCACATTCAAAGAACGCTTTTATTTTGTGCCCAATGCAGATGTAGAACAATCTAACCGACAGTTGTCCGCATCAGGTAAACGTCTATCTGTTTGGAACCACAAAGCAACGAAAAGTTACGAGGTTAGAATTGACCACAGAAAGTGGCAGGGACTAAGAAGATGGGGGAGACGTTTGGTCCATGAAACGCTTCAATGGACCAACTCATTCAATTCATACATGGAAATCGATAAACATTACGCAACAAGCTAACAACGTGAGATTGATGGTCAAACAGGTGCAACGCAAACCACAGCGCGAGGCACAAGCAAACCCAATTCATTCATACACGTATNNNNTATTATCGTTCGAGAACGAGTCATAGAAACGTTACAATAACTGCTCTCACTCAACGCTCACCTTCTTCTCAAAACACCATCAACCATAATCTATGCACTATGCATTAAAACATTCAACTGACTGGATAAGTCAATTGATTCGGCGCGCTTGCAGTGATCTGGGCCTGTAGCCAAAATAAACCAATTTTCTTCTAGTGGACTCCGGGTACCTCCGAATTTCCACTGAACAACCATATTTAGAAGCGGGAATTCAAGAAAATTTATTACATCGTCCTTTGGGAGAAGTTCCATTCCAAGAATATCAGTACACACACATATAATGAAAAGTTTAGCCGTCGGACGGACGCGGACAATCTCGACGATCGAATACCAGAACCGTGGTACCCCGACCTTCTCGAGTCGCTTTGTTGGCCTCATCAGTTACGC